AGGAAAAATGTACACCGACATTTCTCGGACGGGGCACGGACGCGTTCCGGCGAAGCTCGGCCCGTGCTCGGTTTAGCATGAATGCATAAGTATAAATAACATTTGACAATGTTTGGCCGTGCCTTCACCGTCGCACGGCCCCGGCCCGTCACGGTGTACCATGAATCAGCCTTAATGTTTTTCGTGTCTTGTCCTAGCCGGTTAAAAAAGATGCCCAAATCGTATTTTTAATGATATCTCAATTTTTTCAAATGGAACGAGTGTGGCTCATTAGCATACTTGGAAAAGCATTGCATTTTGTATTTTGAGTCAAATTGTCGTTACATTTATGGCCATGGCACTCTAAATTTAGATTTAAAATGCCATTTTTTTAATTGAAAATATCAAAAGTTGACATATGTATGCTATGTCATTCTATTCAAATAATTTTCTGTCAAATGAAGTAAAAAAATACCAAAAGTGTCATTTTAAAATCAAAAGTTATAGTCGTTTTCGGTGAAACAGAAAGTGACCGAAAATAAACGTCAATCAATCCTATTTTATGTCATATAATAACATACCAAATCTCGTTTTTTTATCTGAAAAAATAAAAAAAAATATAGGGGTGGGCCACTTTTGATACGCACCCGGTATATCTTTTTCTTCATCTCTATAAAACTCTTCTACCAAATTTTGGTAGTCCACCTTCAGAAGCAAAGAAAATGGCATCACTGACACGTTTTTTACCACACTGAATGTTTGTTTGTTGTTGAACATTTGTTTAAACAAATTCAAATATTACAAAAACTATTAATTTTAGCTACATAACATTATATATAAAAAAGTTATAGAATTTTACGCACAATCTAAAAATAAAATAAAAAATGGTATTGGGTTTTAAAAAATATATGTTATATCCGCCACACTTTTTTGAAGCACCCTGTAATATAATATATAATAATTTTAAAATATGTAAGTTAACCTTCCCTATAATTTTTATATTCAACACTTTTTTGTAAACCTCGAAACAAATGAGATAATGGACTTTATCGTTCACTCACCCTGTACTCAATGATTTAAGCTTCATTCAGTACCTCGCAATTAGTGGAATAAATTAGTGGTTTCAATTAGCGTAGAAGTTTGTTCCTTTAATTTCAATGTAAACATTGAGAATGTCAAAATTAGTGGTAGACATTTTCAATGAGCTCTTTCACAAAAAATAAAATACCCAATTCAAGGACAAAATCTGAAATAGAAGACTATTTTCAGTATATTTATCCAAAAAAATAGTTCCATGACATTGAATAATTTTTTTATAGGTCCTCAAAATTGCTTTAATTTGAAATAAATTTAAACCGCCAATTGGTGACGTATGAAAAATACGCCCAATCACATTGCAGAACCGTGCTCGTGGGCCAGCCAACAACTGGCAACATTGCCATTTGATTTGACCAGCACCACCTCAACTGAAGGCCAATCAACATGATATGGGCAAGGCAAATATGGCGGCGAAGGCAGCGCATTATTAAATTGTTTACCTTTAACCTGAAAAGCCGGTAGTGGTTTCTCGTTCCGATTGCATACCAGAAATAATTAATTATCTCTAGTTTGTTGTGCTTCATATTTTTTCGAAAGTGAGATAGCAGAAAATTCTAGAATTAATTGCTTTATTCAACTATGCTAATTCCAAAATATAGTGAAAGAGCCCATTAGTAGAAAAAGTTATCAAACTTTTAACTTTTCCACTAAGTATACTTCAAAATTTGCGAAAAATGTCATTTTTGCCTTTGATTATCTTCCGTCAAGAGAAATTGTGGTTAGAAATCAAAAGTGGATTGTTTTATAAGCTAAATATTATGGTGCGTTTAGACTTGAGCACGCACGAGCTGAGCGTGCGCGCACGGCATTCGTTCGCGCTCTCGGCTCCGTTCAAATTAAAACCTTATTTTTCGACGAATGAAATGATGCATTTGTGCGCGCACAGCAGAGTTGTGTTGGCCAAAATAGTGGACGACCAAGAACTAGTCGAGGCTGCAGTCATTGTTATGCACAGCTTAATTATTAAAAAGGAGAAAAATCGAAAACATCGTCGCTGGTGGCAAACCCAAATTTTTCGAAATCGATATAATTTACTGCAACAATTTCTTGTCTGAGAAGGGCTATGATCAGTTCAAAAACTTTACAAGAATATTTACAAAATTTAATAACACCAAAAATTACGAACAAAAGATACAAATTTTAGAATAGCAATTTCATTAATATCGACATATTCAATATTAATTTTATTTACAAGATCTTGCCATGCGTTTTTTTTTATTTTTTAATAATACAAAGAATGTTTAACATCCCATAATATAGGCAACTTTTTCATATTCCCTTCAATTAATAATAACGAAGATTCATTGATCCACTCCATAATTTTAATAAAAGAAATCGAAAAAATCACACACGCACGCACGAACGCAGACAAAACAAATTGCCGGTGCAAACTGAGCGTTCGCGCACACATAAAATCCCTTTGAGCATCGGACCAAAACCGACACCAGACGGCTCACGTTCGCGGCTGCTCGCGCACAGACAGATTCAGAGTGAGCGTGCGCGCACAGCCGTTTACACTTGAGCATTCGCGGAGGATCAGTGCATGCGTGCTCAAGTCTAAACGCACCATTAGGATTTATCTTGGCTTTATCTATAGATATAACTGACTAACGCAAGCTGTTGCTAGGATATTCTCGATTATTAATTTTAATTGTGTTCTTTTAAATATTGTGAATGATCGTAAACTAAAAAGTATAAATTCAAGCCACTAATTTATTCCACTAATTGCTAGGTTCTGATTGAAGCTTTAGTGGCAAAAGGGCCAGGCTATTTCCAAGATGAGTTGCTGTTATTACAAAAAATTACAACTGGCCTTTTTTGTTACAGCTATACAAACCACATCATACCTTCCAGCCCTAAAGAGATTCCCCACAACCCCCGATTACATCAACAACGACATCCCCTACGAGCTCCCCGTGGGTATAGCCAACTGCACCAACATGAAGAACATGTGGACGCCCTGCCTGTGCCACCTCGAGCAGTGCATAGGTTGGTACCCTTGCGAGCTCAAGTACTGCAAGAGCAAAGGCTCGGCGAAGAACTCCGTAACCAGCTACCGGTGCGGGATAAAGACTTGCAAAGTGTGTCACCTGTTCGTGTACTACATAGCTCAGAAACAGCAATGTCTGTGGGACGAATGACCTTCAAATGGTACTGACTGTTTAGTTTGTGCGCAGATTGGATAACTGTAAGAATAACAGTTGGGAGTCTGTGTAGTTTAACTTTAGAGTAACAGGAGTAATGCCTTAAATATGTTTTGTAACGTGTAAGTAATATTATAAGTACTTGGACCAATGACAGGAACCTTTGCTGCTATGACACTTCCGTTGTAGATGTATTTTAGTGAAAGTTTCTTTCGGTTTTTCAAAACAATAGGTACCTAGGCAAGTTTTGAGTATTTTAACATCAATAACATTGCTGGAAAGAAAAGAAAAAAAATCAAATATTTCTAAGCCAAACCTATCGTTTTGAAAACTATTTTAATTCATTTTAAAACAGTAGTTGATATACTGGTTGCGTCTCAAAAATGGGTCACCCCTATAACTTTTTTATAAGGTCAGCAAAAAAAAAGTTTTTTTTTTCACTCAAAATTATTTCGGTCATAAATGACCTAAATACAAAATATTTTCATGGTGTCTGTCTGTCCGTCTGTCTTTAACACGATAACTCAAAAACCGCTAAACCGATTTTAACCAAATTTGGCACAAAAATACTGTGGCACCCGAGAATCTGGCCATTAGTTTTTGGTGGGGGTGGGGGGTTGGTAAAGGGGTATGGGAGAGGGTTAAAAATTTTAAAAAATCGTAACTCCAAAATTACAGTAGCTAGCGAAACGCGGTTTTCAATTTAAAATTAGGAATAATATTTGCAACAAAATATGTAATAATATCAAAATCAGTCAAAGTCGCAGTTTTTGAGATAAAGAAAAATTGGAAAAAATTCCCTTTACTTTCAAAACTAAAGAACTGCCTACCAACTTTTGTATTAATGATATTCTAATATGGGCGGCTACACGTGCCTCCCGACGCCAATTTTTTCAGATAAAAAACGACGATTTGGTATGTTAGTACGAGCCCTAACAACTATATGTTGGGACAAGGTCTTTTTGCAATAAAAATAGTAATTTGTTAAAACGACCCAATTTATTTTGTTTATTATTCTAAATTCAAACATTACAATATGATCTAGACAATTTTACTATATTTTTATAACTTTGCAAACAAATCACTTTTGATAAGAGCTTATTTTGCCAAAATCAAGCCAAATTTGCTGACAACTATATATTGGGACAGCACAACAAAAATTGTTTAATACGGAGTTACATCACCTTTCGCCTTAACAACTGCCTGAACTCTTAATGGCATTGTATTTACCAAAGATTGGTACATTTGAGGAGAAAAATTATCCCAAATTTCCTGCAGTTTTGTCCGCAAATCAAAAATTGTTCGTTGAGGGTGGTTTCTTAATGCCACACAGTTTCTATAACATTGAGGTCCGGACTACTTGCAGGATAGGATAGAAATTTTATATTATTATTACCGAACCAATTTTTAGTTGATTTTGCTGAATGGCACGATGTTCCATCTTGTTGAAAAATATAGTCTTCGTTTGGAAACAATTCTTGAGCACTAGGCAAAAGTGAGGTCTCAAGTATATATGTTTATATTTTTGGGCGTTAACAGTGCCATCTATAGAATTTAATTTGCCCAAACCTCTTGCTGACATGCAACCCCAAACCATAATCCCCTTAGGAAATTTAACAACCCTCTTTAAGCAATCTTTATGAAAGGCTTCTGCATTATTTCGTATTATTCTTTTTCGATAAACTCCAACGCAAACATCAAATTTAGACTCATCGCTAAATATGACCTTATTCCAATCATTTTGTGTCCACGATAATTTAGATTTTGCTCAATTGTAGCGATTTTTCTTTTGAATTTCTGTCAGTAGCGGTTTTTCTTTGGCCTAAATAAGAATTTGTATCAATAATCTTCAGGTAATTGAGTATCCACACAAAATAAAGTTTACCTTGTAAAACCCCAGACCGCATTTATGGATATATTTTCGGCAACATTATCTTGATATATTTAATCCAGTTACAGTATTCCATTTAACTGTTACTTCGCGAAGAGTACTTCTTCTCGCAGACTTGCAAATTTCTACTAAATTTCGTAAATCTCTCTGAGATACAACTTTTGGCCTTCCCGAACTTTTACCTCTAACGCCTACACTGGCAGATTCGCCGTATTTTTTTATTATATTAAAGACCGTGGTTTTTGGAATACTTAAATCATCAGAGATTTTTCGAATTGTTTTTCCAGTACTGTATTGACGAATGATAATTTCGCGTAGTTTTTGATTTGTAGTTTTTCCACGGACCATTACTTTGGATTAAATTAACAAAATTGAAAATTAATAAAATTAAAATTACTTACAGTAAGCCTCACTACTCAAAGTATCGAGTCACTTACAAGCTGTCAATGCTGAAGTAAACAGTTTGCGACATTTGTGACGTTTATAGCAAAGCCGCCTATGATATTAATTATTTAAAAATACTTGTCCCAACATTTAGTTGTCAGACAAATTTGTCCTTTTATGAACAAAATCCGCTACTGTAAATATGGATTGATTTACAAATTTATAAAAATATTGTCAAGTTGTTTAGGATATATGGCTATGTTTATATTTAAAAAATTAAACATATATTTTTCAGTCATTTTGAAAAACCAGGGCAATAATTCCAAAATATGACCTTGTCCCAACATATAGTTGTTAGGGCTCGTATATGACATAAATTAGGATTAATTGACGTATTCAATTGTTTTCGGTCACTTCCTGTTTCACCGGAAATGACTACAACTTTTCATTTTAAATAGCATCCTGGTATATTTTTTACTTTTTTATTATAGGAAATGACACTTTGAATAGAATGACATATCATATGTCAAATGTCAACTTTTAACATTTTCGCATATGGTATTTATTTGAAATTTTCACATTATGTGGTTCATAACGACAATTTGACTCGAAATATCAAGTGTGGTACCAAATTATTCATAAAAAAGATGCTTTTTCCAAATATGCTAATGAGCCACCCTTGTTCCATTTGATAAAATTAAGATATGATTAAAAATACGATTTAGGCATTTTTTAACCCACCAGGACAAGACACGGAAAACATTAAAAGATCAAAACTTTCTTCCAAGGATCATTGATTAAAAATTAGTGTTTTTAACACAGCCATGGCACTCTAGATTAAAATTTAAAATAAGATTTGTTTTTTAAGCGAAAATGTCAAAAGTCAAATCATATGTCATTCTATTCAAAGTGTCATTTTCTATCAAATAAAGTAAAAATATACCGAGGGTGCCATTTAAAAATCAAAAGTTCTAGTAATTTCCGATGAAACAGGAAGCGACCGAAAAACAATTCAATACATCAATCAATCCTATTTTATGTCATATACTAACATACCAAATCACTTTTTTACCTGAAAAAATAAGAAAATTATAGGGGTGAGCCACTTTCGAGACGCACCCGGTATAGACTTCGATTCTTTTTGTAATTCTGTGATGATCAAGTATAATTCCAAGTTGGGTCTCTAAAACAGACGTTACTTATGCATTTTATCTTAAATTACTATTTTCATTTTATTTATTTTTTCCAAGTCTGAGTTATGTAGTACGCTAGAATTGTGGCTGTGACAAAAACAAAGTGTAACAACGCGATCAGATAGAGCAAAATAATAAAACTAAAATACAAAAAATATGTAATAATATAAAGATGTAAAAGCAAAATAGATGTTGCATAAATACTTCATGTAAATATTAATTAAACATTATTTCTAGAAACAAAAAAAAACATTTGTACTGTAAAGAGATTTTTTCTACTTCGAGTAAATTCTATTGATATAGGGTAACTAGATTTTTTAGAACTTAAAAATAGGTACTTCACAAAATGTTAATCGTCACCATTTAAACATATTTTGTTAGCTATAGAAAAAATATCTGTTTTTTATTATAGTTTAAAAACCTGTTTTAATATAAGAGATTAAAATATTCAATTCAAAATAATTTAAGGAAAATAGAGCAGCTTGAAAGAAAATGTATATCATAATTGCTTGAATTGTGAGTAACAGTTGCCTAACTCTTGGTTTATTTCCTTTTTCTATCAAATTCATCAATTGAATTTCCCTTTCGGCCTCTTTCGAGAAAAACAAGTCCAAAGGCCACAAGCTAGGACGAATCAAAAAAACGAATCGATCTGGGAAATAGAAAATCATCTGGAATACCGGGAACGTAATACTAATGAAATTGAAAATAATGTTAGAGCTCTCTGCGAAAGCAAATACGAATCAAGGGTTCAAAGAATTAGTTTTTAGTTGGTTCTTTTATAGAGAAAATGAAAAACATTACTGAAAACATTGTCCTGTATTGATGAATTTGAATAGAGCTGGGATCGAAAAAAATGTGTTTGTCAGAGGTTTTGTTTTGATCTGAAACGAGATTGTTGCTTTTAAGTAAAATTCATATAATATACAGAAATTTTTAGTGGTTTTAACTTATTTAAGAGTTCAAAGAAAAATATTAAAATGTATATTATTCTTTACTATGTAAATATTTTTAGATGTATTTAATAATAATCTTACATTTTTGGTAGAAATTATGACAATAATGCTTAAAAATCTTAAAAATATGTATAGATGTGAAGATTTTAATTTTTGTAACATTTGCATAATATGTGTATTAATAGATAAAATATCTTTTGTTATTTGAAACAAACTTACTTTGCACTTAGCTTTACTTGTTATCAAATATATCCGAATTTAAGATGAACTTGTATAATATAAATGGATAAAATATGTTTATTTATGGAGTAAAAAATATTTTAATTTTTTATACAGGTGTTTTGTAAAATAATTAATATACAGGGTGGTCCGAACTGTATCCCGGCAACTTCGGCAGCATATTCTGCAGATAAAAATAAATAAAAAAAGTATTTTTGGACATACATTTATACGAACTTTTTACTTATTTTATCAGCAGAGCTCTTCTTATCAGGCAGGCTTCCCAATTCGAACTCCCTATTGATCATTTCAATTCGGAAAAAAAATTCTCAGGTTAAATAAACACCTTTAAAA